TTGTACAGTTCCCACTACATAGAAATATGGATAATACCACAAATTTTGGTGTATTTTAAATTTTTCTTCAACAAATTAATGGCTTTATCACATGTGCAATAATTGTGCTATTTACAAAGAAATTGTGCTATTTACATGTTTCACACACACACAAATATGATTTCACAGTGCAATGCAGGCAGTGTGATTATGTAATTGAGCAGGGGTTAAGGTTGCAGGATTGTGCCATCTTCTTTCTTTGTGACTATATTGATAACTTCATTTAGCAATGACATCAGAAATCCAAATTCAAGGTCCCGGAGGATTAGGGTGTCTTCATAAACACTGAGCATAATATTTTCCACTGCTGACTATTCCACGTGGGATGAGGAAGCTTTAACTTTTCTCTCCCCTCAATGAGTCCCCAGAGTGCAGAGGACCCCCTCATTCAGGACGCTGGACATCGGGTAATTGTGAACTCAGGATTGAAGTAGTGCCCAGGCTGACGGACCCCTGGCGCTGTTGGGGGACGCAGCCTGCCTGCTCTTCAAATTACAGCATACAATTGCTTTTCCAAACAGGCACCCTTGGTGAAGGTGATTTACCTGGCTGTGGGCTTCCCCAGTGAGGTACTAGGGAGAGGAAAGAGACAGGGCTAAGAGCCTTCACCACACAATGTCTAAAATAACATTGCATTCCACAGCTCCCAAAGCCATGAGGGAGTGGCATCCCTGCCACCCTCCAGATGATCCCAACCAGAGGCCTTTTTTTTTACCCTAGGAAGAAAGTGTGCCCCTTTTGTGGGACTGACCCTGGCTGCTTGGAAACTCCTTGAGCATCTCTGAGAACTCAGCCTCTGAGGATACATGTCACATCTTAGGAGGATAGACAGAAGAAAATGGAGTTCAGTGAGAAGTCAACATGTGCTTATTTCTAAGCCATTTCTAAGACCTGGCTCTACCTAAGAACTTCTAGGATTTTGGCAAAGCCTCTTGGCTGCTGTGGGCCTCACTTGCTTCATCTGTAAAATGAGGAGATTGTATTACATAATTTTTTAAAAAAATTTGCTTAAGGCCTTGGAGCCTTTTCCACAAGACCTGTAAACACAAAAATATGTAAAACAGATAGAAGTAGAGTTGTTCCAGTTAAAGGAGAGTCTAGAGCCTTGTACCCTTGCCCTGTGTACCCCCAGATTCCCTAATGTTCCCTTATAAACAGCTCCATAAAACTCCAATGGATCCAAAGGGTATAGATTGATAAATAAGTCCTGGGCTTCGAGGGTGCACCCTGGTGGAATGTTCTAGGACTCAGTGACTCTGGTCAGGATAGGCACCGGGGTAAGCCACTTGCTTCTTTTGCACTGGGCCTTTGCAGCCACTGGGCTGGCCCCTAGTCTCGTGAGTATGCAGTGTGCCTGTGTAACCTCACACGTCACTGAGTCGGGGATACAGGATGTGGCATGGCTGGGTGCTTCTTGGAAGAGCTTCCACATCCTGTGAACGTTGGGTCTCTACCTGCCAACTGCTGAGATGAACCAGTAATCCTTTCAGAGAGCACAGGCTTTTATCAATGAGGAGGATTCAAGGCTCATTTTGTTCTTCCCTCCGAATAACACTCCCACTGTTGGGACTTAAATACCAAAACCTTATGGTTTGCAGAATCACTGCCAAAAAGTCAATCCTCGGAGAAACTGCAAAGATAATAGCTCCTATTGATCAAATCAGGAGAAGAATAGCTTTTGAGGTTGGCCCTCCTACAGAGGTCGAGGAAGATAAGGGCTGAAGTTTTCTAAAACATGCTTGATTTGCTGAAATTGGATAAAACCATATAAAAACACTTGTGTTCTTAGAGAACTGGTAACCAATTCAGGAAAACCTCACAAAATGAAAAGATTGGCCTGGATTAGTGAGGCATGTGAAATACGGTGTCCTTCTAAAAGCATGGTGAATGTGTCCTTTCAAACACAGGCGATGACCCAGCAGCTCACTAAGCATGGCCATGCGGAGGACGGCCACTAGCTGCCTTCCTGGACAGAGGGGAGGCACCACGGCCCCCGAGTCTGTATGCCGGGCACTGGGCAGGATCCTTTTGGTCCATTATTTGATTTAATCCTTACTTCAGTCCTATGAGATGGCTTTTATTGGTCGCATTTTACCGATAAAATAGAAGTCAGGAGACGTTCCATAACTTGCTCATGATCACAAAATTAATAAGTGGCAGAAATGAGTATTTTCACCTAGGTGTGTACTTCCATTAAATATCCTCCTGTCTTCTAAATGGTGCATATTAATTTGCTTTTTACCACAATGATTTTACACAGAGAGGCTGCTACCCTGGTAGTAAATATACTTAGAGAATGTCTCACGTTTTGCCATAGGGAGGAGAACAGGAGAACAATGGAATCCATCAGTGAACATCCTGGTCAAAACCGGTGGCCCGGTCCCTCTAAAGCTTGCTGGTGGCCATGGAATTGATGGAGCTCAAGTGGAGATGTGCTCAGTTTTTCTCGCTTAAAGTTCAAGCCTCCCTTTCATTACCAAATAAGATAAAATATTATTAAACATCATTTCATGTGGCAGAATTATCAATATTAAAGTTTCCATATAAAATAATCAGCCTTTCTTTTAAAAAAATGTGGCCTTGGAAGATAATATTTTTCAGGGAAGTTATTCATATTTTAAAATATTTTATCTGTTTTTATGATCATTTTATCTGAGAAGCCGAGCATGTGGTTATCTAAAGTAATGGGTCTTGAGCCCGAGAACAAAATTCCTCAGAATCAGCACAATCACTTAATGAGCATGAGAATTGGAATTATCTTTGCTGAAGCCCAAGTACCGAGTGGTAATTAGTGTCCAGGGACACGTGGGGACCGATTTCACTGTTAGTGGTGCCAAGAATCTATTCATTTGTCATCGGTCCCAAATTATATTCCATCAGCAATTCAAAGTCAGCTTGGAAAAACCAAGTGACATCTAGCTAAGTTTCTGTAAAATTAATACTGTAAAATGAGACCTATATTTCTGGCAATTTCACTGTGAGCAGCAGTAAGAGGAAGCAATGAAAATATTGAAGGGAAATGCTGTCAAGGTCTGTCTTAATCCTGCCACTTCTCAACCTTTGCTTCCTTGCCTGAAATGCCGCCTTGGCTGCCACACTGCTGTTCCCAAGCCCCCTGAGGTCTGGGGGCGCTGGATGAGCTGTTGCATAAGGCTAACCACAGTAGTCCGCAATACTGCAAAAAGGTCTGTCATTATTGAAGGGGCCAAAGTGGGTGGTCGCAGGATGAGGGAGAATGGGGGTCACAGTGGAGTTGGGGTTGGAGTCATTTGAGGAGAGCCCCGAAATGTAGGCACTGAGCTCTCTTCCTGGTGAAATCACCTGGGGGAAATGCCCATTCCTAGGACAAAGGGTGGATGTGAGAACCACTGCTTCCCACTGCGGTTTTGTGTTAAGCATTTTTCCTACTGGGGCCAAGTTTTTCTTTTTGGTTTCATATTTTGGAAGTTTATGTGCTGTAAGATCCCTGCCATACCTCCCATCTGACTTCAGGTCCCCTTAGGGGAATTTGTGCTGCTTTGGGCTCAGGATGTAGGAGGGGACTGAGACCATTGGGGGTGGGGAGGGCATGTGTGGCTTGTCTGTTTCTTTCCCACCTGCCTCTAGGACCAGGAATGAGGCAAGCCAAGGAGGTCTGTACAAACCAAACAAGCCTTTTGTCTCTGCTGTGTGTGGCAGGTAGACAAACTAGACGTGTGCCTTTGCAAGGTCTCAGTGGGTCAACATCCTGTTCCTGTGCAAGCTCAGTCAGCAATGGTGACGTGTGGCTTCTCCGGCCATTCGGCAGACAGTCACCATCTGTAAATAAGGAAATGTAGAAAGTGTGCTTATCTCTGGGAAAAGGTGAAGCCGGAGGTGAGGTGATTTATTAAATCAGGTTTTATAGACTTGAATACCGGTCAGCGCAGACTGCCTGGAGGTGCAGGGCACTAGAGTCCAACAGAACTGGATTTGGATTCCAGTTGTTCCCGTTATTAAAGTTTATCTTGCCTTCCAACTCAGACTCATTTTGTGTTGGAAAATCTTTGTGGCAGACCCCAGGCTTAATGGGCAAAAAGACCCATAATTGATTAATGATGCCTGCGCTGGATTGAAGGGGCTTGGGGAGATGTAGGGGAGGAACTGACAGCGTATGTGCCTTACGTCCAATGACCCTGGGTCTGTCACGATCCTGTGCAGCACTAATGTCTTGTAATAATGTTCTCTGTGTGTGTCTGTGTGTATCACACATAGCCTAAGGGGAGGTTAGTGTAATCCCATCACAGTGTGTTAGCAGGATGCTGCCATGGCTTAAATTTTCAAAAACTACAACAAAAAACATCACTTGTATACTACAGTCTATTATTGAAGAGTGTATTGTGTCCTTTAGGTTGTTGATTTGCATGTTTGTTTTAATTTGTGATGATTTTGAAAATTATCTTTTTAAGCTTAGTTACCACAAATGACTCTTTATATTCAAATACTTAGCTTTCATTTGTCTTGACTTGAAGTTCCAATGTAGAGAAATGAATTTCTCTTTTCATAAAAATCCTACCGATTCACAAACGCAAGCAATGAAATCAGCAGTAGGAGCAACGTTGTTCTTATATTTCGCTGGAAGGCTATTGGAGATATTAGTCGAAAACTGATCTTGTAACAAGAAAAGGAAGAGTTTGATAATGTGTGGTCATTTCTGCAGGTTCCTTCTTTGTGAATGTAATGTTTTGAGTTTTTGAGCCAATTTTTTAAAGTAAAAATCTTCAGATCTGGCCTACAGATTGTTCATTTGGAGGGCCTCTAAAACGCAGGCGCCTCGGCCTGGCAACCACCGCGGCCATTCCGGCGTAATAAGCTAGGGGAGTCCGGCGGTCTCTCTCCGAAGGCACACCATTTAGAAATCTCCTATAATGCTTCTCACAGCACATAAGTTACTATATTTAATATTGCCCTTGTCTTTCTCCCCTCCCTTCTTTTCTTTTCAGAAACAGAGTCGTCAGTCACTGCTGAGTTAGTGCCTACCTCATCATGGAACATTTCAAGTGAACTTGACAAAGGTACACAGTGGGGACACATGGGGCAGCGAGGAGGGAGGCGGGAAACTCCATTTTTAATCCTGGCATGACCTTCTTTGAAATCAACTGTTTTCCAGATCACTAGGAGAAGGTGGGGGGCCAAAATAAATTCCCAGCTTACTTTGTGATCATTTAACATTTGATTACTTGGAATTCTATTATATCTGGAGAGGGGTTTTTTCCCCCCTCTCTTTCCTTTCCCTTCTTCCTCTAAAATGTTCCACATGGTAAAAATGCTTCAAGATGTGAAAGAGGGTCGTTTCTGACCTTCCTGACACTACATCTAGTGGATCTTATTTAGGGGATTTGATTCAGCCTTAGCCAGGATTGATCAGAGCTGTTTGCTGGGTGACCTTTCCCAATGAGCATTTGATGTGTTTGCAGGGTTCAGCACGGAGTATTTGGAATGTTTGTAATTGCCTGTGCATACAGATGCCAGCTTCCTGTGTGCACATGGGGAACAGGTTCCTGCTAGGAGCTTGTTGTTTAGCATTAATTGAGCCCCACCACATGCTTAGCGTTGACTGCTCTATAGAGAGCCTCTGTCCTGGAGTGGTAGATCAGGACACATCAAAGCCCCAGCAATCTGGCTCAACCGACCCCAAGCCTTAGTTCCTTCTCTGTATCCCTCTTTCGCCCTTTTATGCATCTGCAGCCAAATTTCTATTTTTTCTCATATATCCTGTGCTTTTCTGCCTCTCTGCTTTTGTCTTTTTTTCCACCTGAATTATCTTTTCTTCTTTGCCAATACCCATTCTCCCCCTTTTGCGAGGCAACAAATTACATCTCCTTTAAGACCAAGCATAAATTTTATATTATTCATAGTCTTGTCCGATTCCTCCAGCAGGAAGTGGCCTTTCCCTCTTTGGAACTCCCATTTTCTCTGTTCTTCTCCTTGCATCGTCTGTATTACATCGCAGTGATTTATATACCTGTCTATCTTGCCCTGAAACCTGGAAGTTCCTTGTAGGTACGATTTCTATCTTGCTTCTTTTTCTTTCTTTCTTTCTTTTAGCCTTGTCTGCATCACAAAATCTAGCACAGACTCTTGTTCATAGGAAATCCTCAATAACTATGTGTGGAATAAGTCAAATTTTATCTAGTGAGAAGCCATAGTCATACATTACATACAAATACGTTCAACAAACGTACTGAGTTTCTACTTTAGTTCAGGCATGATTCTAGGTGCTGAGATTATGGTGGTAAAAAGAGCTCAAAAGTCATTGTCACATATGGTCTTTTATGATCAGCTCTCTATCGTCTGCTAATATAGTCACTGAAAGTTGTTTTTCCTCTCTGAGAAGAGGTAACTTTATTTTATAAAATAGTAATAGGCAAAGTTATTTTGCCAGTTATACTTTATTAGGCATTTTACAATAGTTGGATGAAGTGAGGTATCATTTTACCTTAGATCAAAGGACCTTTAGGACAATTTTTTTCTATTTTCAAATCTGACATGGACATTCTTTTTCTGTTACAATGAAGGATAAAAGCAGAGGCTGTGTGTCATTCCTCTCAATCACCAGCACCAAGCACAGTGCCTAGGAGGCAGTAGATTTTCAACAAATATTTATAGAATATTTTTTAACTGGAAAGAAGGAAAGGACAGTAATTGTTAACTTAGTACCTACTCTGTACCAGGAACTGTGCTAGGTGCTTTCAAGTGTATATACTTACTCTGCAAGCTCTCTATGGAGCCAACAGAAGAATTATATTATTGCATACTGCATGCTGTTGATCAGCATGACAGCTGAGTGCACTGTCTCCAGGCATTCATATCCCCTCCTTTTGTTGGGTAAATCCCTAACTCGGAGAAGCAGTAAAACAAAAATCCATCACTTGGTGTGTCCTACTGCCTCCCCCTTGACCCAGCTGCTCTGTTCCACCCATCAGTCCCACTATGACTCCCAGCCTCGCTAGGGTCCCAGTGTTCTGTTAAACAAGTCCAGGCAGTGGTATGAAACAGTTACCTGTCTATCCTTTCCAACAGGAAATGAAATTTAAAAGAGACAAGGCCACCCGAGAAGAGCCGTTGAAAGCTACTATTGATGGCTCATGAGGGTAATTTCTGAAACAAATGCTTCAGAACCAAATACCACCTAAAATAAATTGATCTACAGGGGCTCAACCTCAGCTCCCCGGGAGAGAGCTGGGGTGGGTGTGAGGAGGGCCTTTTTCCCCTTCTTCCCTCTCCGGTCACAAGAAGTCTCAGAGGTTCTCTACAGAAAGCCAAATGTTTCTTTTGGAGAAAGGACTGGAAATTGCTCCCATAGGTAGCAGAAAGGGAGGGAGCCTACTACTTAAAAAAATACCGAGGCTGCTTCCAACTGCAAATAGTTCTCTGTGCTGACAGACTAGATTTGGGGGTATTTTTGCCCTGGTTTGCCTTTTTAAATGGCTTTCTTTACCAGCTTGAAGCTTTATACAGAGTAGGGAAGTGTACAGCGTGGTTCTTATGAGCACAGGCTCTAGAGTTACTATGACTCTGAGCTTCCTCTTGCTCTCCTGTGGAGTGGGGATATTTGTATTTATCACCCAAGGTTGTTTTTCAGGCCAAAACATGTGTCCATGGGTCGCATGCCTGTGTTGTGATAGGGTGGCTGCTAGCATAGTCACAATAGGCAGATGCATCCTGGACTCAGTCCCTAAGCCCACCTCTTCCCCAGAGCTTCACCATCAAGGCCTGTGACCTCTCTACTTCAGGAGTGGTTCTTCCTCTTGTTCTCCTTCTCTGTTACTTGGTTTGTTCTTGGCACATAAGTAGTCCATTTAAATGGTGTTGACTAGCCTACAGCTTAGAGCTTGATCCTTAGCTAGTCCAAATGGGGTGGCTGAGTCGCTGTGTTCCTGATCGTATCTATTTGGAGCCACGTCAGTGGGTGAAGGTGGAAGAGTAGGGATGGACTGGATCTTGCCTTGGCCCTTGGCACTTGGCAAGCTGATCAGCAGTCCTACTGGAACTGGGGTATCTGAGAGCTCATCCGTCCTTGTGTTCCGTCTTCAAAACTGGTTAGAGGAATTCCTTGTGGAATTCCTGGGGTAGCCATGTGAAATTCAAAATCACCCAAGTTCAGCAGGTTTGGGCCTTAGACATCTTTTTTTAATGAATTTTTTTTTTAATTTCAAAATATTAAGGAGGTAGAAAAGTTTTTGTTACATGGACACACTCTATAATGCAGAAATCAGGACTTTCAGTGTGCCCACCATCAGGACAGTGTTTTTTTTATTTTTTGTCTGTTTTTTCAAAATATTAAGGGGGTGCAAATGTTTTTGGTTACATGGATTACTTTTGGACTCTCTTATTTTAAATGTATTTTTATCTTTTAAAATTTTGTTTTTATTTCAGCATATTATGGGGATACAAATGTTTAGGTTACATATATTGCCTTTGCCCTACCCAAGCCAGAGCTTCAAGCATGTCCATCCCCCAGATGGTGAGCACCACACCCATTAGGTGTGGATATACCCATCCCCTCTGCCCCGCTCCCATCTGCCCAACACCCCATGAATGTTATTGCCATATGTGCACGTAAGTGTTGATCAGTTAATACCAATTTGATGGTGAGTATATGTGGTGCTTGTTTTTCCATTCTTGTGAGACTTCACGTAATAGAATGGGCTCCAACTCTATCCAGGATGATACAACAGGTGCTAGCTCACCATTGTATCTTGTGGCTGAGTAGAACTCCATGGTATACACATACTACATTTTATTAATCCACTCATGTATTGATGGGCACTTGGGTGGTTTCCACATCTTTGCAATTGTGAATTGTGCTGCTACAAACATTCTAGTGCAGATGTCTTTTTTATAGAAAGTCTTTTTTTCCTTTCGGTAGATGCCCAGTAATGGGATTGCTGGATTAAATGGTAGTTCTACTTTTAGCTCTTTGAGGTATCTCCATATTGCTTTCCACAGAGGTTGTGCTAGTTTGCAGTCCCACCAGCAGTGTATGAGTGTTCCTATCTCTCCACATCCATGCTAACATTTATTATTTTGGGACTTTTTAATAAAGGCCATTCTCACTGGATAAATATCTCATTGTGGTTTTTATTTGCATTTCTCTGATGATTGAAGATGTTGAGCATTTTTTCATTGTTTCTTGGCCATTAATCTATCTTCTTTTGAAAAGTTTCTGTTCATGTCTTTTGCCCAATTTTTCATAGGGTTGTTTGATTTTTTCTTGCTGATTTTCCTGAGTTCTATATAGATTCTACTTATCAGCCCATTATTGGATTGTAGCATGTGAATATTTTCTCCCATTCTGTAGGTTGTCTGTTTGCTCTCATAATAGCTTCCTTGGCTATGCAGAAGCTTTTCAATTTGATCAGGTCCCTTTTATTTATTTTTGCTTTTGTCATGCTTGAGTTACAACTATAAGTGTGCCCACCACCCAAATAGTGTTCACTGTACCTATTAAGTAGGATTTTCCCTCTCCCTTCTTTCCCCCTCCTCCTACTTCATGTCCATTGAGTTTTACTTCCCTCTGTGCACTTGTGTACTCATTAGTAAGCTCCAATTTAATAGTGAGTACATGTGCTTTGTTTGTTTTTCCATTCTTAAAATACTACACTTAGAATAATAGTCTCTAGTTCCATTGAAATTGTTGCAAAAGGCATTAATTCATTCTTTTTATTGCTGTGTAGTACTCTATGGTATACATATACCACATTTTGATAATCCATTCATGAATTGACAGGCACTTGGCTTGATTCCACTTCTTTGCAATTGTGAATTGTGCTACAATAAACATTCTAGTGCAGGTGTCTTTTAATAAAATGACTTCTTTTCTTTTGAGTAGATACCCAGTAATGGGATTGCTGGATCGAATGGTAGGTCTATTTTTAATTCTTTGAGGAATCTCCATACTGTTTTCCATAGAGATTGTAATAACTACAGTCCCACCAACAGTGTATAAGCATTCTTTTCTCTCTGCATCCATGCCAGTATCTATTGTTTTTTAATAAAATCCATTCTAATA